GTTATCATCGTCTGATACTTGTTCGTCTCCGTTCACGATAACTATTTCAACGTTGTCGTCGTCCACCGCGACTTCGTCTGCCTCAACGTTGTCATTGTCCATCATGACTTCAACTACCTCAACGTTGTCATTGTCCATCATGACTTCAACTACCTCAATGTTGTCTTCCAATAAAAGTTCATCCCTCGGAACTTGTACACCGGCATCGACGTTTTCCACATGATCTTCTCGTTCTCTGTATGGCCCGACTACCTATAGAATCATAGACGGTTAATTTAAATGATCTATAAGAACGGTTCATTCTAGACTGAACCAAATATACAATAGTGTATTTATTGTGAAACAATAACATGGTAATAATATTTTATTTTCTATTTGTTTCCAATGCACAATATAGTATAGTTATTAAGTCATTAACTTTGATGTCAATTAAAAGTGTAATGCAATGTAATCAAAAAATGTTGTAGTTTGTAGAATGTACCAAACCATACATGCCCCAATTTATTAATTGATTTTCTATGTAAGAAAATGGAATTGCAGTTTATAAATATTAAGGTTGAGGTGTAACAAAAAAAAAAGAAATTTGTTAAATTACATAAGGTTTGTGGTGAAAAATAATTTTTGTGTCATATAACACCGTGTCATCATTCGTATATAGTATCGTTGAGTTTAGTTTAATGTAATATATATTAAAAAAAATGAATTGTAAGTTAAGTTAAATAAGCAAACAAATTATAAATTATGAGCACAGTCTATTCACTATTGGAGTAGTTAACTATGGTTATAGTAATTACAGTTTATAATGTCACATGGAATTTTTAAGTGAATAAAGATCACATGGAAGTTTTAAGTGAAAAAAGTTATCTGAATAACATTAATACAGTATTGTTGAACTTAACTTAATGTAGAATAAATTGAATCGTCAAAGACAATGAAGATATATGTGTTGTATGTGAAAAGTACCAATAATAATTAAATAATATGTAATGTATTTTGTTATATGTGTGTTATTATAAATGATGGGCAAAGTTAATTGACTATTGTAATAGTTAAGTATGGTTATAGTAACTATAGTATATAGATCACATGGAATTTGTAAGTGAAAAGTCATCTGATGACATTAATAGGTACAATATTGTTAAACTTAACTTAATATAGAATACACTAAATTTTCAAAGGCAATCAAGATATGTGAAAGTGAAATGTACCTATAATAATGTAATTGTATTTGAATGTAAAATGTTGTTAACAAAAGTAAATATTTTGGTGGTAGGTATGTACATTTTTTATTCCTAAACTATAAGGATATACGAGTGTTAGTGAAGTTAATGAGCTATATAGAGTAATAAAACATTTGTAATGAAATAGGTGGATATTGCATAATTCAACAACTGTAGGATAAAATTAACATATTCAATATATCATGCTCTAGCGTAGACCCTTTTGTTATTGTTTATCCATCAAAAAGTGTATGTTTTGCTGTACAGCCAGGTAGGTAGTTAGGTAGGTAAGCAATATATATTGTAATACAGTGTTATGGTTGTGTTTGAAATGAATGAGTTGTGATGCTTGGAGATGTATGTCTGATATGTAGATACTCACCAAAGATGGCACTGCTGTATGGAACGGAGAACGGCGTCGCGCATGCTCCTGTCTATAGTCAAGGCCAGGAACAAAATGCCTCGAACACAACGTAGAGGTTAGGTTTACAGGAAAACCTTGGTTCACCACAAATTCCACCCAGTGAAGACGACGTTCGTCAGTTGGAAATCTAAGGATGGATGTGATTTATAACATGTCACATTATTGTTATGTGAAATTGTAAATACCTGTGCACCGAAACGTTATTGTCACCATCCACGTTTCCACAGATCACACATCGTTTCACCATTGTGAATAGCCTGGAACGCATAATAGTTATATAACGAACACAACAATATACAAAATTATTATAACGAAAGTATTGAAAGCATTTTGAAATGATGATCGTATCGTTATGTTATCAGTAATGATTAAGCAACTTGTGTTATTTTTAGAATTGATATAGTTTGTACATTGTTCTAAGGTTTGTACTTTGTACATACCTTTTGTACATAAGTACATTATACATGAAAAATAGAAAAATACGAAAAACGACATACTGAGCTCGAAGAATGTTAAAGCCACAAAACAAAATTGAATGAATGTATACGCAATGTTAACGCAAATACTTAAGATACGGACGGCCTCAGTGGAACGGCTGACGTGACTGAGTCCGATTACGAATGTGGATATAAAAAACGTTATATTCAATTTGTATAGGTACGCTGTTTATGTGGAAAAAGAAAAATATTGTAACGCGCCATGGTCAGTGGTCACAATGTTATGTACAATGTTTGAAGTGTGTACAGAAGCGGCCGTTAACGATAAGCGCTGCCATGAGTAGGTACCTACAAAGAAAGCACTTGTTAGGAGTCTAGAAATATTAAAATGTGCAAAAGAATCACCAATGTTCCTGTGCATTTACAAACGTCTCCTTCGAACGTTAGCCGTAGCCTGACGTTGGATAACACAGTACGGTTCCGCGCGCTGCACATGAATTGCGTCCCGAAATCCTTTTTCCACATGAATTGCGTCCCAAAGATATTTAACGACTACACGAATTGCGTCCCAACCATATTTAAGAACTACCCGAATTGCGTCCCAACGTAAAAACATTATTTTCCTTCTCATTTCATACAGACTTAGGACTGTCGTTAGCAAATTACGACTATCGGTAGGTTAAAAAAAAGTTATAATTATAAAATTAAAAAATTGGTAAAAACTTGAATGATACTTTCTTAATATAATCAAGACGGGTTAATTGGCCACTTTCATATTTTGCCATATTTTGTCTTAGTGAATTTTCTTTTTCACATACCATCATTCGTCTGTTTTTAATTACATGAATACTTCGTTGTTTAATATAAGTTTCTTTTTGTACATTTTTTAAAACATCTATAAATTGAAATATATTCGGGTGTGCTGAGTAAAACATACTGTTAAACTTGGAGTGGAAGGCTTCACAACTATTCGTAGTTCGAATTATAGAACATGAGTACATTGCCCATACAGAAGGCGGGAAGTCACAATCAGGCTTTATGTATGTATTTAATATATAATCGGAAAATTGCTGTACTTTTTCATTTTCGGGTAAAATGGATACAATATCGTCAGTAAAACAATCCTCCACTTCATCTGGTTTTAAAAATGGGAGACCAAAAAAATATTTTAAAAAAATACTGATATCTGAATTTTTTTTGTATTCTTGACTTAAACCAACCGTTTGAATTTTAAAACAAACGTTTACACCAACAACACGATCGAAATCGAACTAAAATTATTATAGGCTTTACAGTACGTTTATCGTTCATGCAATCGTTCATACAAAACCGGACGCAATTCATGCAGTAGATTAGATAATGCCGGACGCAATTCGTGTACCCGCTTATCAATTTTTTTATTTCGGGACGCAATTCGTGTGTAGCCGTTCCGCGAGCTTAGTTACCCTCTCCATTCCACCCGCCGAGCGATAAATTTTAACTAATGAATGTCCAAAGGGCATTTAATGTTACGGACAGACGGTAATAAAAGATACGGATTACGGAATACAAACTTATATATATAACAATCATGGAAATTTTGAAAAATGTGGAAGAAATGTAGAATATCTTACGTCTAATAATTACTATACATATATTTATTAATAATAAAGAAGAACATACAGGAAAGGTAAATGTATAATATTAATTTTTATGTAATAAGAAAGAGAAAAGATCGGAAATTTGAAAAATTACGTAGAAAAAAATCGAAAAAAAAATGCAAAAAAAGTCTAGATTCGGGTGTAAATCATACGGGACAGACGGTCTCGACCGCTCGGGCAGCGTAGAACGGATTCGAACCCGGGACCTACGTGTTTCCTACCTAACGCCTAACCTACTCGGACACAATTTGAGATGTGAATTACGGTCAAAACATCAACACTTAAGCCGTGTGTCTACGGAGCGACGTACACCGATATATTCGATGTACATCGATGTAATCGCATATAATTCGCTTGTAATACTCGCATCTCCCATATATATATTTAACGGGCGTGTGAAAAGCGTTTTCCGTTAATAATTATTAAATCATAGGAAAAAATTAAATTATAGACATGTATATATACGCGTACGATCGGCCGGTCGCTGGCGTAATTTCTAAACGCGAACCGATTTCGAGGGAAAAGCGCGTTAACTACACGATGCAGGCACGAACGGCGTGCGAAAAGACGAAACTGTGGGAGAAAACAAAAAGAAATGGGCAAAAAGTCCGGCCGGGAGCGTATTTTTCGATCGATATTGCTACCGCTTCGGACGGCGCACGAATATAAACCGCACACGGGCGGCTTCAAGAGATCGCGAGCTACGCGAATCATAAAAGGCGAAAATGCTCGAAAATGATCGAAATCGTATAAAAACATCTAATATTCTAATCTAATTTTCCGAAAATTTCAAAAATCGGCCGCGACGTTTTAAAACCGACCGCCGCCGCTGCGAAGGTACGCGATTGGTCGCGCTATAAGGAATCGACGGGACATGGCCGGCGGGCTGGGGAAACGGAGCGGTGCTTCATTTTTTACTCCACGGTTTCACTATAACTGCGTTTTCCGTTCCACGGGTTACTTGTAGACAGCTGATTTCCTTGTCATTTTATATATTAGGATTTGTTAAACATTGGTGGATCCGTAACTCGTAAGTAATTAAACATATTATTATTGTAAGGACCTATACTTATTTTATAAATTGGTAGGTTATTTGAAACTTGTAAGCTATAGGTTATATAGAGGTTGTAAAATTCTAAAAATTAATAATGTATTTTTGTATATTGTATACATTCAGAAATACTCATCATACATAAGTAAATATATTTGCTATAGCAATTGAAACATAAAATTATTTTTTATTTTAAGAATTATATATTATGTACTATTATGATATAAATCATTTTCTTTTTGGCGCTTGTTTTAGCCAATCACTCATATAAGTTTTAATCACCAAAATAGACTCATTTGGAAAAAAATCTTTAACAGCATCTGAAAAAAACAAAAAATAAAATTTAAAATTACAAAATAAAAATATTAAAAAAAATGGAGAATATAGCGACACAGATAATGTTCTTAACTAAAAGATTGATAATAGGTGAATTCACACATACTAAAAGTAACAACAAAGAGTAAGTTTAGCTAAGTACTACTGACAATTTACTTCTCATAAGATCAATACAACTCATTTATAGGTACGTATAAGGTACTTTATATCATACAGTAATTTGAGAAAATTGATAATATACAGAAATTATTATTATTTATTAGTTATTACCAATTATTAAAGTGCAGATAGCTAGTCGTCCAAATGCCCGTTTTCCCCCTCTTTTTCCTCCCATATTCAATCCTTCAGCTAAACGATTATCTATCACCATCTTCATTATTTGATAGGTTGTCCGTTTGGCATCAAAAGACTTTCTAAGTCTGCGTATGGTATGAGCCTAATCAAACAATACAAATTAATCAAAACAGTTTAAACATAAATTATAACTTAAAAATAGCTTACTAAAAGCTGTTTTTGTTCATCATTTTCTTCGATAGCGTTAAATTGGTCCATATTTAATAATGGCATATCAATTTTAGATCGATCAAATGAGTTCTCTATTACTTGAAGGCGTGATCTATCGATGACTTCAGTTAAAAGTTCTTGATTTTTTATTACATCTAGTTTAATAATGCTCAACTCTTTTTGATTAAATGTCATCTGATTGTACACTTAAAATTAAAAGAAAAACCTATTTGGATAACTATAATAAGATCACAAGTGAATATGTGAATACATTTTATTCTTACCATTCATAATTTTATGGCTCATCTGTTGCATCATATTCAATATATCATGTATTGTATAAATTTGTGTATTATTATGGTCCGAATAGTGTACTTGGTCTTGGGATTGTTGATCAGTTGCTGCAATATAAGTAATAATAGAAGTCAGCGCATAATATGCCTAATGTGCATATTATGATGCTTATAAAATAAACGTAATGATGTAACATACGTTACAACACTTAAATAAAGTTATATGTATTTGGCAATTGTGTTATATAAAAAAATGATGATATTATTATGTATAATCAAATTAATAAACAAATAGCTATGATACATTTATTATTTGTTTTTGAAATAAAAAGACGAATCATTATGAAATATATAAATATTTTATTAACAGATTACAACAAATATCAAAAAAAAAAAATAAATAAATAAAACAATATTAATGATTAAAGATATAATATTATAATATACAACAGAATTAAACACAATATAATAACAACATCATACAATTTTAGTAAAATAAAAATGAGTAATTAAAATGTAATAAAATCAAATCATGATTATTTGGTTTTTATTGATTGATTATGTCAGGCTTTAATACAATGTCTGCAAACTTTCCATGATGTATTTGCTGTAGATCGAGTAAAAATGATATCTCTTCATCCTTCAGATCATCCATTTTGAAATTATAATCTTTAATATATGTACTGATAAAATCACTTCTAATACAATCAGGTGATAAATATAAAATACCATACTTGATAATTATACATGCATTATTGAAAACAGTTTGATACATCACTAATTTATTTGTTAACTCTATGATATTTGCATTTATACATGGTTCCAATAATTTCAATCGATTTAAATTATCACTGGACAATGTGATTCTTTTATTATTATGATATAAATTAACTGATTCAGATTTTGGACATATTTTATAATAAAAATTATTATCCAAATGTAATCGTTTTGAATGTTGAACAGTGGATAAAGAACGAACAATTATATTAAAACTATTATCAGATATAAACTTATTCCATTGAAATACATTTAGTATTAGATAACGTTTAGTTACGTTACACATGAATAAAATAATTACAGATAAAGGTTGATCAACAAGGTATCCAATATAAATGTTTTTTTTATTCTGTTGATGTATGTTGAATATTGATTTGACTATTACGCCTTCCATGATGAAGTATACCTACAGTATTGATTTAATTAGTTAACTCAAGATGATAATATTTTGGTTTGGATTTCACTCTAGTGAATCTTCTAAGTTTCTTCAATGTACAAAAGTGTTGACGTATCGGTTGGATTTTATCGATTGTAATATATGATTTAATTTTAATTAAATTATTATTACTTTGATGAGGAGATAAATAAATAAAATACAACATAGTCAAGACTACTACACTAGTACACTGTCAAAACACTACTAAAATCAAATCTAGAAAAATATTAAATATATTCAACAATGTGTAGACAGTTGTTATCAGTTTGATCACATAATGAAAGTTAAAAGTATTTATATAGTCAATGATTTTTGTTTATCAATTAATATTTTTTTTTTTCAAATCTATAAACATATAGTTAGTAACAACACACAAACATGTATCAGGTCCGCAATGACAATTTGACCACACACAAAACTAAATGATAATTGATTTTATCTGTTTCAAATTTAATAACATATTATTGTTGAATACAAGAGAGAGTACTATTTTGTGCATTCAACTTTTATAATATTCTTCATAGATTGCATATTATTATTCGTAAAAATTCTCAGGAATTACGTTCTGCAGATGTAATCGATTACGGGTACAACGGATCTAGCGCGTAGATGGCATTGTTCCAGTGACTCCTTGGAGTTCCACGTTACGGGTGTATCGATCATGAGCTGCCCATCTCGTGTACCGCCTCTCTTGATATTCTTGGTCTTATACCATTGTTTTGATGTCGAATGCACATGTTTAGACCAACTGTTGTATTTAACTGTTAAATTACAAATATCACAAGTTTTATCTGCAGGTCTTTGTATTCTCTCTTGTCTTGTTCTTATGTTTGTTGTTGTTGTACCCCTGTATGTTCCTCTAAATCGAGGCATAATTGTTTGATCTGGATCATTGTTTTGATGACGAGTAGATTTCAAATGTCTAGACCAATTTTTGTAACAAACTGTAAAGTTACATTTATCACAAGTTTTGTTATCCATTTTATTATTGTTAACATTTCCTTTAACTAAAAGTTCAATTTTATTTAAGCCTTCCATTTATTATAGAGAATATTATTTTTTTTACATTCAATTTTTAATAAAAATAATTTTTATTAAAAATTCTATTTAAATAATATTTAGATCCCATACTGAATTCACACATTTTAATATTTCCTAAATCTTGAACAATTTTAATATTGTCTAGATAATAGTGATTATAATCACTTGTTGCAATAATTTGCTCATTAGCTATTTTACAAGGATCTAACCAAGTTGGTGACTGTAATAATTTAGAAATATAAGGATTTCCATTTCCAAAATCAACATCTCCTTGACTAATAATAAAAATATTTCCTTCAATTGGAATTTCATTTAGATTATATTTAACATTCTCAGAATTTTCATAGTATTCAAAAGCACAACATTTCACATAGGTAACATTTGTCATTTTTTATATTATTTTGCATTAATTTCAAATATTATAATTTGTTTGTTTTTCTTGGTTAATTGGTATACCTTTGTATGTTTTATTAAATCTAAAAGGTACAATTGTTTGATCTATATCATTTTTTTGATGGCGAATAGATTTCAAATGAGCAGCCCAATTTTTACAACCAACTGTTAAATTACATTTATCACAAGTTTTAGCAGGATATATTTTTTTATTTAATACATCCATTTTATGATTGATATCAATTTCTTTAACTAAAGATTCAATTTTATTTAATCCTTCCATTCTTAAATATAGAAAATATAATTATTTTTACATTTATTTTTTAATAGAATAATTTCTATTAAAAATATCATTTAAAATTTTGTTTTTTGTAACTCTTACAAAGAGGTTATAAAAACTACCTATAATCTTTCATTGTTTAAATCTATAATTTTATAGGTAATAGGACTTGTGTTTAAAATTTCATTAACTATAAATATTTCTTTTGTCCAATTATTAATAAATTTATTACCAAATGTTTTTTTAGAAGCTGTTATTTTTACTCTATCACCTATACTAAATTTAATTTTTGGTTTAGGTTTGTTTTTTGTAGAAAATAAGTTGTGAAAAACAACATCTTCGTTAGATTTATTTACTTCACAAGGTCTCATACCAATAGATCGATGTATGTCTTTGAAATTATATTCATCTATTAAACTTTGTAAAATTTTAATCCATTTTTTTGAATTTGTAACTTTAAATTGTAATCTCATTTTACTGTTTAATGTCCTATTAAATCTTTCAATAATTGATGATTTTTCTTCATTTTGGGTGTGATACATTTTAATTCCATATTCTTGCTAAACTTTTTTAAAATGTTTATTTTCAAATTCCAAACCTTTATCTGCGTGAAGTAAATTCGGTGCTTGATGATTTTGTGATAAAGCTTGTTTTATTATTTTTTCAAATGCTTCTGAAACACTAATTCTGTCTTTCTTTTTGAGTCCTAAAGCCCAAGAAAATTTTGAAAATGTATCTATAACATTTAATATATAAGAATAACCCTCATTTTTATCAGAATAATTTCTCATTATAGCTAAATCAGCAGCCCATAAATCATCTATACCTTTAGTATAAATTCTTCGTATAAGAAATTTTTTTTTAACTGGTTTAATATCATTTTATTTGTATCATTTAATTTTTTATTGGAAATATTATGTCCAATTGTAGGATATTTTATAAATTTACTTTTATTTGTGTTACACTTGAAACATTTTGATGAAATTTTCCATCTACCATTAACTGTTTGAATTTTATTTGCATTAATATTTTTTGTTTGAATTTTACATTTAAAACAATATATAGTTTCGCTCATTTTTTATATTTATATTAAAAAAAAATTTTAAATAGAATTTTTTTAAAAAAATTATTGATAAAAAAATTTTTATTTTCTAATATAAATAAGAAATGGAAAAGGAAAACTTTAAATATGGTTTAAATAAAATCAACAATGGATATACATTTATAAAATTTAATTGTTCCAAACAAGGAAAACCATACAAAATAAATAGGTTCATAAAGATTGATACAAAATTTGGAAAAAGATTAGCTGTTGTATTAAACGATGAATCTATGTTAAATTTACCTGATAATTAAATAATAATAATAATTGAATTGTTACGATTTTCCTAAAATAAGTCTTGAATTAATTGATCGTTTTATAAATATTTCAGCCTCAATCGGTCTATGTTTTGATGAATATTTATCAAAATGTTTAGGTTTTGATTATATTTTAGATTTTATAACACAAGCAAACCCTATAAATAAAATACGGCCTGTTTCAAACGAACTAGCACCAGCTATTTTTTATAAAATAATAGGTACAAAGAAAGTAATGATTTATACACAAGGTTTTATAAAAAATATTAAAGGTATTATTTGTAATGAAAATAGTAAAACTGAATTAAAAGGAAATTATTCAATCGAGCATTTAAATAGCTTATTCAATTATGAAGTTGGAAAATAATGGTAATTACATTAAAATAACAACAAAAGATTATTTTTCATTTGATAAAGATTTAAATTTAAGTTTAGGAGGGATTGATACAATATATACACATTATGGAGAAAATTCATCATTAAATAATAACAACAAAATATTAGAAGTACATTGTAATATAATTGAAGAATCTATTACACATGCTATTGATGAGCTATCTCTCATTATGATGAAGTTTTATTTTATTTCAATATAATTCTAATTATGTTTTGAATA